AGTAAAGGTGAGAGTCAGAGCCCAGATAATTCAGAGGAAACACTCCCGCTGATGATGGCTGGCTGTCAGGCCTAAACACAGTTATTAGTGGAAAACAGAGATGTGTGGTGCAATTTTTTTTCCCTCTTCCTCTTCAGAACAGCTGTGATGAGACAGGAACTTTTCTGCAAGTTGCAAAGAACCTAGCCCATCCCTGATAATCCTGTGCTTTTCAAAACTGCCTACAAATAAAAGTGAAATCCAAAACTCTGCTCCTGCCAAACAGGCCACATCACTAACAGTGAAATGGCTTTCTAGTGGCGTGACCTCCAGCGATGTCTGATAAGCACGTGGTCTTTCTCCTGCCAGTTTGTATTTAATCAGATCCAAACAACAGAAGTTGACAATGAAATCCCAGAGTCTCGCCCAGAAAGTTCCTCAGCTTTGGGTTGGACTTTTTGTTTGTCTGTTGTTCTGGGTGTACCCTGCAATCTGCTGCCTAGAGGGCTACACTGGCCTCACACCAGGAGGCTGCAGACAGCATCTTACTTGCATGTAACTCTCCATACTGTTTCCTTTGGACTAAGCATCTGAAGACATCATTTCACTGCAGAAGCATACTGAGGTATCTGGAGCACTCCACAGATCACAGGCCAGAAGGAGGCAAATGACAGGAAGCACGGTTTCAGTTACAGGTCAAGAAGCAGCATCCTCTACCTCTGCCACAGCCTTCTCGTGCACTTGGGCAAGTCGAAGTCTCCCAGACTTGCTGTCAGTATGCTAGAGCTAATCAGGCATTGTTCTGCTTAAAGGCAAGTCCCATTTTCAAAAGCAATTTAAGCTTTTCTCAACTCTGAAGCTTTAGTCCACAGATTTTCCTAAGACGTAGATGTCTGAGTTCTTCAATTGCTCTGAAAATGCCTATCTGTTCTATCAAGGCAGTAGATTGTTGCTCACATCACCTTTAGCAAAATTCAGCTCTCAAGGCTGATGAGAGCTGGGAAGACAAGTGGCACAGCCCCTCCTGTGTGTCCGCAATCACAGCATGCCTCCACCATCCCCAGGAGCTTGGCTGCTAGCACGTGCTACAGTCTGCACTGCTGGGGTCTTACTGCTTGCTACATTCAGCTGGAGCAGAATGTTTCTGCAGTCTGCAAGCAAACTTCATCTTCTAGACAGGTTATACAGATATGCTATGCTTTACAATTACATGTTGTTTTGCTATATGGATATGTTATGTTTTGCAAATTTGAGTGGAACAAAACCCAAAGTGATTTAAAAATCTGGGCCCTTCACTTCAGCTCCTCACATGTAAGACAAGACTCCTGTTAGGAGACCTCTCTGGATTGTAGCTCAGAGGGAAGGCTGTCCTGCACTGCCTGCATACTGCGGTCCCGTTCAGGGCCTCCGTGTGACAACACAAGAACATCGCTAAGTAGACACTCATCTCATGTGACAATATGACAAAAGCTGATCACGCCGATTCGTTTTTGCGGGTAAAATGTGCCAAGGAATTTTAATCCTGGGTGCAGGTCAGTTACTCACAGCAATGGTAGGAGCTACGAGCTCCTCCTTAGCTAAGTGTCTTTTCCATTGGAGAGAAGGAAGTATGTTAAGGCAGTCTGGATAAAGATTTTTGTCCAAGTCCATGATTTACCTTTCTCTTTGGGATTATTATATACATGGCTAAGACAATACAACCTTCTGGAAAACCAGAAATAGATTCTTTTCCATCTCCCCCTCATCAGAGTTGGTTACTTTCACAAACACTTAACCAAGCTTGCTGTATTTTTGGACCTATCTTCTGCTCTGCTGTTCTCACCTAATGCCTAAATATTTCCAAGTTGCCCATATTTAAGCTTTGAAAAACTAATAAATATGGTAAAAACATGTAAGAAATTTGGAGACCTAGTTCTTTTAATTCCTTATTCGCGTGTTCTGCAGCAGCAGCTCTCCTGACCTTTCTGTTGCAACCAGGGCTGTTTGGTCAGTTTATTAATATTTTTCTTGATTTTAATATTTTTCATTTCATTAACTTGCAAGCAATGCTGATTCTTAATATGATTTTTTTAGTCTGGTTGAGCACTGTATTAGTTGTAGTAGTATTAACAGCATTAATTATAGTACTTAATAATGCTGGCATGTATTTGTTTAAAAGAATTTATTTATCCTTAATGAAAATGTGTATTCTGCTTGGTTTAGAGTTGAATTATATTTTACGAACCAAAGCAGGACATTTGAAATCTAAATTGCAGCAGCATATATAGAGTATCTATGAAGACCCTCAAATGACTGTGAAAATTCAAACGCTTACGTTGGTGGCAGTCAAAATTTAGCATGTATTGAAGAGATGCATTATATCCGCTGTGTTATGACAAAGAATTATAAGTCACCATATGGCTCAATTTTTCAAAATACATTTTTCCAAATAGCAACTTCTTAGGCATTTAGAAATTTAATTTTCCAATTGAATTTTAATTGATATGTTCTAGCTCCAACAGACAAGTTAAACTTCGGACTTGTTTTCTTTGATTCAGGACAAGAATGGGAGTAGAAAAATGGGGTTTGGTAACTCTGAAACATTCCAAACATTTTTTTGAAGCTATTAGTGAAGGTTGAATCTTACACCATGCTTTGAACGTGACCAAACTGAAGGGGCAATTATGAATAGGCTTAAAATTGCAACAAAAGCCTTCACTTCCACGCTTCACTGGCAAACAGTTTGAAAACAATCCACATCTGTCATAGTACCCATCTAAAAATTCTAGTTCTTTTGCTCAGGGTACTAAGACTCAGGCCTTCAGCTCTGCCGCACAGCTGGTTAGAAACTTCCTGATGAAAGTTTCATCAGCAAATGCAAAGCCCAATATGTTTAATTCAAAACATTCCAGAATTTAATGAGGTGATAAGCCTCATGTATGTTTGCATGGGTTTCCAGCATATGCCTGAGTGCCTGGCAGACTGAAGATCCAGTGTTTCCTGGATCTGCCTTTGTGGTGCACCCTCAGACAGGACCTGTGTGGCACAGAACTTCCATAGCAATGGCCCTGACTCTGGGTTCACAGCCCTAACTGAGTTTCCAAGGTCAGCATAGTATAGGACATACATGGTCCCAAACAGCTACTGAACAAGATCTTGCTGTTCTGTGCTCAGGGAGGTAATTAATTCAGGAAACATCATGACAGTTTCTCAATGAATTTTAAAATGGTTTTAAACCTAATCTGAAAACTAAAGTTTTAGACGAACCCCGACAGCCAAGACTGAACACATGCCAAAAAACCAACTGTCCCCTAGTGACTGCTCGCCAAAGACAGGATCTGCTGAGGCTCCCAAATCCTCAAGAGGAGTATTTTTCATTCCGGATGAAAACTGCTCCCTCCACCAGTCTAAAGATTGTCTTACCTTCCACCTCTAGCCCAATACATCCAAGTTTCTGAAAATACTTTTTCAGCAATGAAAGGTGAACAGTTTTAGCCTTAGAGAAAGCGCTCCTGCACAAAAAGGAATGACTTTGCTGCAGAATTTGATCTACACAAATCTCATTTACTGGTTGCTTCTGAAACCTGCAGTTCTGTTCACAGATAGATGATCTCTCTTCATCCTCCTGTTCTGCCTTCACCACTTTTACGGTACTTCAAAGATACATCAAAGCATGTGCTACACTACAGCCACAAACTACAGTGTCACAGGCTTTCTAGGTAATTTCTAGTTAGAATTGCTGTTGTGTTCAAAAAGATGGGTAGGAGGAAGTCTAGGAGCTTGTTGACAGATCAAGTGAAATTGTAACTATGATGAATACTATTTCAGTATTGTCCAGTCTTAAAACAGAAAGAGATTGGCTGAAGCCAACCACCTAATGATTTTTTTTTCCTTCTTTTTACTAACTGTGATGATAGTAGTTATACTCCCTCCTACATGACCAGGATGAGCCTGGGAAAAGTTCTCATAGGAAGTTCCATCATCCAGGGGAAATATTACATCTCCCTAAGAGGTCTTCCTCATTTTAAACTGTGACTACCTCATGTATTTTGGGTTAGAAATGGAAAACACAAGTTGAACTGTGAAGATAATGAACCAGTGATCCAGTGCATTCTCCATCAGTTCAGGTTTGGCAGTGTGCGGGTGGCACTAACCCAAATAGTTTAGAGAGGTCATGCCAAGAAGCACCGAGGTGCAGTTTCTGGCTGTTCTATGTAAGAGGTCCCAGCTCAACTGGTCTTTTCTGGCCTTGAATACTCGTGTGACGGCTCGAACAAAGTGACTTTGTCATTCTCTGTTGCAGTTCCACGGCATGAGGTCAGAAAACGTCCCTTTCATAATCGTAAATAAGACAGGAAGAAAAGAAAAAAGCCTAAGTGTCTTAGCGTGACAGGGCTGTCACCGTGCAGAAGGGGGTGCATTTACAATACCGAGGAACTGCGCGCCCCG